GGGCAATCCTACTTCCGTAGTGATACTGCCTCGGAAACCCAAGGAGGGGTCGCTATGAGTTGGGGCCGACTCGACGGCAAATAACAACAACAACAGTACATTCAATGAGTAAAAGAAACATAGAAAACTAACTTTTAAGTCCTTAAAGAAGTTCCATATATGGTCTTTTGAAAGAGACCAAACAGCATTCCTTACCTGAAAATTGCACATGTCAATATATAATCTTCATAGAATTATTCATCTCTTCACAGGGAAGACTTTTCTATTACTTTTTGAATGTGTATTGTTTGCATGACCACATGCTTATGACTATATATATTTATAAGTAAATATATCTTTATGGAGAACCATCATTACTATTCCAGTTGCACTGATATTTTTTTCCTACAGATATTTCATATAAATCTCTGGATTTATCTATACTCATAAATTTGTTGCCCTGGAAAGAAGAGTAATTATTTTATTCTAAGTCACCAAAAGCAGACTTTTATCTGACGTTTATTTGAAATGGGTGAAGTTAAAATTTTCTTACCATCCAAGCTGTGACAAAGTCCCCCAGCCAGGTCCCTACTGCAGCTAACTTCATGAAACTTTCATTTCGGATGCCCATATAGTCTGTAACGATATACGCTCTGTAAAAATAAACACACAAGACATGGTCCAGACTCAGAGCCGTACAGTCAAAGCCTTCTGATTCAGCAACATGTAAAGGGACTTTCCCCCTTCTCAGCAGCTTTTTTTCTGTTGTCTCATGACATATGTTTACAAATCTGAAAGCCTATAAAGAACTCTGAGGGTGTCTGGGTCACTTCCAATTAGATTTAAAGATTGGATGTGGCTATAACAATTACCATTTGCATTTTATTTTTGAGCTGTAAGACTGACAACAGCTTTTGGAAAATCAAACAGAAACACTCAGCAAAGGCTTCATTTCATGCTCACTCAACTATGAGCAGAGTGGAAACATTTCCTGAATTAGAGTAACCTGAAAGGGAAGCAAAGAGCTAACTTTCCTTCAGCTCTGTCAAGTCAAAACTATTGAAAAGGTACTGGGACTAGGTTTTAGATATAATATACTTGAATATTGTTCAGAATAATGTCAAGATTTGAGGAAAAATTTCCATGCCATGAAGCAATGTAAAATTTGATTCAAATATATATGGCTTAAATTATTATTTAAGTAACAATAACCGGAAGATTTCATTTTATCACTTTCTTTTTGCATCTAATACCAATTTGGGAGCTCTGGTGGCATAGTGCCTAAGGCATTTGACTGCTAACCAGAGACTGATGGTTCAAACACACTAGCCACTCCTCGGAAGGAAGGTTTGGCAATCTACTTCCATAGTGATAGCAGCTCAGAAACCCAGGCAGGGGCCACTATGAGTCGGATCCGACTTAGGGGCAGGAAACCAACCCAATGGTGGCAGAGTGTCTAAGGCATTTGACTACTACTAACCAGAAGGCTGGTGGTTCAAACCCACCAGCCATTCCTTAGAAGGAAGACCGCGCAATCTGCTTCGGTAGAGATATCGCTTTGGAAACCCAAGGACGGGTCTCTAATGAGTCGGGATCAATTCAACTGCTGTTGAATTTGTTTTTTGTTTTTTGTTTTTTTTTTAATACCAATTTATATTCTTCACAGGTCAAAGAAAGAGAGTTACAATTTCAGTTATGGCCATTAACTAACAGTAATAAGACCAGGCTTATTATTTACCAATAATTTTAATTTCCGCTTTCTCATTTGATATTTAAGACAAATCTAAGTATTATTTTTCCCACCTGCAAATTCTGAGTAAACTGGATGTCAGATAGATCATCTAACTTGCTGAACACATAACTAACGAATGGTGCTTAGAAACCACGTTTCTCTCTCATCCTTCTCACTTAATTTTTTTTAACTCTATTTTTTAATTCAGTATTTTTTCACTTTAAATATTGTTTTTTATACAATATGATGCCTGTACCATTTAGAGTATTAATTAAACTTTATTCTTCCTAGATTATTTTTAAAACAACATACAATAAATAACAATATTTTTATTATTTATCTACTAAAACAATGAAGAAACACATTTGTATAGTCACTGAGACATAAATTGTCTCCTATTCAGATAGCTTGTTTGCTGTAAAATAAATACATATTTTAAAAGTTTTATTCATCAGTGAAGATAAACTTAGGAACTCTTGACACAACTCTTTCTCCACATGCTCATGCACCTACCTGGGGTTTCTATGTAAATGTCTTCAAGGTCTCAAATTCTGGGTCAACTATTTCATGGGCTTCCATAATAGTCAAAAAAATTTATAGCTACCATTTAATTTCATGTTCACAATGTGCCAGGGATCATGATTATCATTTTAAGAACAGTGTCTCCATCAGTTCTCATACCAACCTAATGAAGTATATTATTATCCCTATTTCAAAAACACAGAAGTGTGGCTTTAGAGAGTTTAAGCAACATGCACATGGTCAAGCATATAGTAAATGCACAGGACTTGAAACTAACTCTGATTGATCTCAAATTCCAGGCATTTGACCACTATTCTCTATTGTCTTCCTACAAGTGTTAGTAAAGATATGAAAACCACAATCTCTATATTTTCCTTCAATATTTTACTAGATGGCAAAGACTTATTTCCTTTGAGGGTAATTCATAGGATGTCAACGGTAGCATTCAGAAGCTGCAGCTCCCTAGAGCTACCCTCAAGGGTTGTACTTCCACCATATTGACAGCTCATCAATCTACGCAGTAGCCTACTTAATAGTTCCCAGGTTAACTTGATGTACAGCTGTGTTCCTGCCTTCAATACCACTGTTGTGCCCAGGCTGTAAAGGAGAATTTCGGAAGAGAAGAAAACGCCAACCCACGCCAATGCAAATGCAATAGGACAGTTTATTAGCTAACTTAAGTCAGGGTCTTTGCCCTTACCAGGTCAGTGGCTTAAGCAAAAGACCCCGTACCCTGTTTCTTTCTCCAATTTATGGAACAATATGGGGAG